AGGCCCCCACCCACAACTTGAGCTTATGCATGCTTGCAACCAACGTTGCTGGGAGTGATTGACAGTGGATCGTTTCACAAAAAACACACACCAAAGCCGGGTTCTCAGACTTGTAGTTTCTCACGTGTGTGGTTACACTTTGGCAAAATCTCCAGCGGTGCTCATAGGCCATAAACTCACTGCAATGGAGGAAGGATCGCTTATATTCAAGAACGTGTCCTTCTCACTTCCAGCCGGCGGCGCAATGCTTGTGCAGGTACAGCACGTTTGCTTTTTGTTGTTCTTGCAAAACCGGCGTCGATTCGAGCGATGCTCACCGGCTTTGGGAATACAGGGCGCCAATGGAGCTGGCAAAACATCACTACTGGACATGATTGTCGGCGATTTGCCGCCAGTGGCGGGACGACTGATATGGGATTCCGTCCTCTGCGATTCTGGTGGTTTGCAACTCAAGCGCTGGGAAGCAGAGCGATTTTGCTGGTTTGAGGATCCTGGGTTGGTAAGATCCAAGAAATGTGTGGCATTGTCATTCGACACATACCCCACTGACTCGCATTCGAATGCTTCTTCCAGCCGCAAATCACACCAAACATTACAGTGCAGCAGCAAATCGAGCTGTTCTCCATCAATAGCAACACACATTATAGTGCGACACATGTGCTCAAGCTCATGCGCCTCTGGGAATTGCGGGATCTCATGACCAACATTTTGTCAACGGTGAAGCGATACTGAGGTTGCCAAATCGTTCTTTTGATCGTGTGGCGAAAACTGACCCCCCCATTCACTTCAACTGCTGCAACAACTCTGGCGACGTTACCAGGGCCAACGCAAGCGCCTGGCACTAAGCAGGTTGGCACTAGTTGCTCGCCCCGTGTGGCTATTAGACGAACCAACGTTAGGACTCGATACGCAATCCATTGCCTTGCTAGAGGCCATGATTCGCGACCATCGCCAGCGCGGTGGCATGCTGATCATCGCCTCCCATGCCGACATTGCTCTCGAAAATGCCGTGTCCTTACGCATGTAGAGGAACCTCCCCCCCCAGTTGTTTTCAATCACAAAACGCGAGCGATGTTGAATTTGTGTCATTTTATTTGTTCGCATCGTTCAGAGCGCATGCCTCATCATGCCGCACCCTTGATGTTGTTAGCCTCCCTTCGCGAAGCATCCTGGAGCAGTTCTGTGTCGACGAATGCTGGGTTGAGGCGAACATATCGAACAACCGATCCTCGAATGAAGCAAGTCTTGACCGAGACCTGACAAAGCATCACAAACAAAACATTGCCGTCGTTAGCAAACTGGCTCTCTTTCTCTCTTGGTCTCCATGCCATCCTCCCCCGATAAAGAGGATGAATAAGGCCCTCGTTTGCGAAATCTCATTCAACGTCAAGTGGCGTTGTTGATCGGCCTTCCCGCCAATCGTGACGCGCTGCCACCGGTGCACATTGAAACAACTCACCATATGGGGATACTTTTCGGGCTCGGCGACGGAAATGTCGAGGAGCTTGATGTTGAGGAACTGGTCGACCGAGTGCAGTGTGCCAGTGATGCAGAGATCGTTCTTGAGCTCGACGACCACTTCCTTGTCGACCAGCGTCTTGAAGAACGAGTAGAACAACTGCAACAGACGCACACACATACACATAGGCATACAGACATGCAGACATGCAGACATCAGGAACGTAGCACAAAGAGTCAAAATGCATTAGCTTGAAGAGACGACGAGATCTCAACGTTCCAGCTTCAGTGCGTTGGAACCGTGCGCGGCACTGCGTGAGGCAGAGTGACTGGGGTGGAAAGCGCACTCGCGTTTCAGCTGAAGAGCGGGTGGTGGTGGGAGACAAAAAGGGTACAAACATCAGAGACTTTACCATGAACGCTCAATGCAAAGGCGATATCGAAAAAAGAGACTGAGATTTGGTGCTCAGAAAGACCAAAAGTCATACACATTGCGAAGCAAGTCTGATTGTTGTGGCAAAAAATGGATGTCAGGGAGCGGATTGGCTGGTGGAGGAAGATCTTCTCGCTTCTCAACCTTACTTTTGACAAGACAACTCAATAGTCCCTCTTCTTGCAGTGCTCTGTTTGCACCATGAATCAGAACCAGCAGGAAGCGCAGTAAAGCAAATGCTCCTCACTCGCGAAAGGCATTCAACGAGGCATCCAACGAAAAAATCCACCTTGTATTTTAAAAACCAATCGCTGTCAAGCACGCCGCGATACTTTAAACACTTGCAATGCCATCAAGTTCAAATCCCAACTAGAAAAAAATCAAAGAAACAACACCTGCGCACGCCGCATTTTTTATGTCAGCTGCGAGGACTGGTTATCGGTGGACTTGTACTTGATCACCTCGGTCTTGGGCGGCGCGGCGCCTCGCAACTTGCGCTCGACAAAGATTGAATTGCGGGGACCGTACATGCTCTTTTCCACCTCCTCGAGGAAGCTACAGGGAGCAGAAGAGCAAAACCCCCATCACAGTCAGTTCAAAACCAGCTCAAGCACCCAACCGCCCCCAACCCGAAAACAACAAAAACAACAAAAACAAAGACAACAGAAGCAACAAAGCCTTCGCACCTAAACGTGTTGTGAATGTTGGTGCCACCAAGAAGAATGCGCGGGTTGCCGGGAGTGGCGCGAGAGAACTTGTCGACAGCAACAGCCTCTTCATACGTGACGCCACCGACCACGAAGAGGATAATGTCTTGTGGCCGCTCGCGCATGCTGGGCGTGGCCCAGGGGAACTGCTGGTCCTTGAGCTTGTTCTTCATGAGCGAATCCAGCACCTCGACCAGGTACGGCTCGTGCTGCGTGAAAATGTTGTCCACGCCCTTCAAGCCCTTGAGCGCCTTCTTTGTAAACGAGATGATACTCTTGTTGCCAAACACGTCGCTTGCACGGACATCGGCGCCAGCATATCGGGTGATGACGCTGAGAATCTGAGGAGAAAAAAAAGCCCGAGGATGGGATAGAAGGGGGGGGGGAAATTAAGACAATGCAATCGACTGCAACAACAACTATCAAGCATTCGCAAAATCGCTCAACTTACAGCCACAAGATCGGGATGCACGCCGCGGCGGTTGAGCAAATCAACAAGGGCCGGGATGGAAGCAGAGCTGTTGCGCTCAAATCGCAGCGCGTACAGCAGGGCGACGCGAAGACGGTCGAGATCGGTGGCCTTGTTGTTGTCAATGACAGATCGGACATCCTACACCCCCCCCCAAAAAAAAAAACATTGATCCAAAAAGCCAAAAACCACAGTCAGCAACACAACAAGGACTCGACATTGCGTTGCACAACGCCCACTTACCTCCAATGCTTGAGCGTGCTCAACGTTTTGGCATGCCAGGTTTTGCTCAATCTCGGAGGAAGAGTACAAATCGTTGAGGTTGATGCGACGAACAATCTCGCCAAAGACAGTCACATGCTTGACAACGTTGCCCGACATTTGCTTGAACTTGGGGTAGCGCTCGATGAAGGCCTTCATGTCCTCGATCGATTCAATCTTCTTGTTCTCCTGCGTGTGCTTTTGGAACTCTTCCGTGAGGAGAACGAGGTTCTGGCTGACCTCGCCGTAATTGAGAACATGTTCTTCTTGGAAAACTCGTCCTGCTCCGAGTTCAAAATGACCTCCTTGAGCTCGTCCTTCTCTTGTCGCCGCCCCGACGACGTGTCTGGAATGTTGGACAAGTCCACGCGATTGTTGTAAATGCCGAGCAGCTCGTGCACCATCGACTGGTACGTCCACTGGTTGAGCAACGGCGTGACGGGATCGTCTCGGCGATCGAGGATCATCAGCAGTGGCGGCACGTCCTGATTGCGGCCAAACTGCCAGAGGGCCGCGTCGCTTTGCATGCGGAGCTGCGGTATTTAAAAAAAAAAAGAGGCGGAGTGGCCAATGCAACATGCAGAGTGAGCTGAGGGTGACAAACCTCAACGCTTTCTGATCCCAGTCTCAAAAAATAAAAAAACTAAAAAAAAAAAAAAAAAAACCTTCATACCGTCAGCTCAGTAGCAAGACCCTTGGCAAGGTTCGACATCTTGGCGTAGCGGATGACGGGTCGTCGGCGCAGCGACAGCAAGGCAGCCGAGAGGCCCTCGACGGCACGGCCCATGGCGCGCTCTTCCCAAGTATCGCGTGCACCCGAAAGCATGCATCCCGTGATACCGAGCGAAAACAGGCCAGGGTTGACGGCAAGAAAGTCAGCGTACAGCTCCTGTGCGTGAGACAGTCACAGTGAATGGGAGGCTGGTGTGAGACAAATTGCCCAAGGGAGAGCACGATCAGCCGGGCAAAAAAGGGACATACCAGCACTTCCTTGACCACTTCGTGTTCGTCAGCCTCTGCGAGTTGCTCGAGCTGCGACTTTTTGACCTGGTTGGAGAAATCTGCAACAAATAACATGCATGGTTTTGCTGCAGTGAGTCTCATGCAGTGCCTGAAGCGTCTGGATGAATTGAAACGTACAGATGTAGTACTGGCCGTACTTTGGCGCCCTGAGCTCGGCGACCAGCTGCGAGACAGACTCTTCACTGGGACGCACGTAGATGACTGCCTTCAAGTGCTGCATGGCCGCGCGTCCGGCGTTCTCGAGCTTGTCAATCACGTACACCTCCTTTTGCAGGATTTCCGACTGCGAATAGACCAGACTGAGGTATTGTGTCTGTCCATCATTTTGCAACAACATCATGTTTTTGTATGTGAGTGTTTCCAGCAATTGTCACCTTTCATCTCATGACGCCGAGATTGCATTGCTGATGTCAAGGTCGGTCAAAAGGTCAGAACGAAAAAAAAAAAAAAAAAACCTGCTTTTTTTTTTTTTTTTTTTTTGTATGGAACTTGCATTGTCTTTTTTTTTTTTTTTTCGGTCGATCCTTTTTGCTGCCTCCCGCGCCTCGCCTCCACAGCGCGACATTCTCCTGAACAGCGTGGAAATGGGGCATCGCCAAGTCCATGCTATCGCTCAGCGACGACGGGGCGAGTGACGGACTGGGCGCCGAATTATTGCTGCGATGTCGGCACTTTTTCAAACCGGCTCGACGTTGCTGCACTGCGAACCATGCCAGTGGAGACGCAGCGGGGATGGGTGGGGTTGGCCAAGCGATGCGATTGTTTGTTATTGAGTTGGAACGGGCCGGCGGAGGGAGGTGAGGGGGCGGGCGAGTTCGCCGTGCGCCGAGCAAAAAGCGAACAAAACGAAAAAAAAAACCCAAGCATTGAATTGAAGTTACCGTGAAGCGGTCGAGGATGACGGCCTTCATTCCGGGCACGTCCTTGACCATCTTTTCCACATAGTCGCGGACTGCTTTGACAACGTTCATGGTTGAGTTGTTGCAAGTCACAGCCGGGGCAAAAACCGAGCAAAAATTGACAAAAGAAGAAGACTGAGTTCGAGGTTTCTCAGACCAAAGTTGAGTTGCAAAAAATGTGGAAATGGGAAACAGCGGATTGGTAGGGTTCTTGCATTGACTTTACTCTGAGCTGAGCTGAGCAGCGTGGATCTACGCCGATACATTTCACATCCAATGAACCGATCGCGCACTTGCGACTGTGCGCTCCGATTCTCGAGAGTATTGAATAGCAGCATTTCATCCATCTATTCATCCATCGATTCAACGACTTTGCTCCATCCTCGTCACACTTTGTTTCAATCTGTGCTTTGACACTTTCTGATCTTTGGTTGTTTTGTTTGCTTTTTCTTTTTCTGTTTGTTGTCTGCTTTTGCTTTTTTTTTTTTTTTTTGTCCTTTTTCATTCTTAGTTTTCTTGTTTTCTTGTCGTCTTCTTTCTTTCTTTCTCTTTCGTTTGCTTTCGTTTCAAAAGTCAAGCAAAACAAGCTCCAAAAACAGAAGGCAAACAAAAAGAAAAGGAAAAAAATTCTCAAAAAATACTATAAAATACAATAAAAACCAAGCTAAAGTATGCAATCGGACTCTGTCGCTGCATCTGGATCTGCGACTGCGACCGCAGCAGCAACAGCACCAGCAGGAGCAACAGGAGCAGGAGTGGCAGGAGCGACAGGAGCAGGAGCTGCAACTGGAACTGGAACTGGAGCTGCAACCGGGTCGGCGCCTGGCAGTCCCTCCATCCTCACTGGGCAGCAGCGGCGCTCGCACGTCGTCCAGCACCACCAGGCGCAGGCAGCACGCAGGTCGACCGTCGCAGTGCTTGCCAACGCCGTCGTCGTCTCGTCCGTCGCGCCATCCACCCAGCCGCAGCAGGCCACCTCGCTCCTGCCGACCGCCGCTGCTTTTTCCCCTTCTTCCGGTGAATCTGGCTCGGCTTGGTCGCTCCACTCTGGATCCTCTGCTTCTTCTTCTACTACTACTTCTTCTACTACTACTACTACTCCTTCTACTGCATCGTCAAGCTCGGCTGTGATGACTGGCGCCAATGCGAGCGGACCAGCGAGAATGTCGGTTTCAGGTCTGCCAATCGCTTCCGCAGCAACCAGCCTGCCGTCTGCGTCCTCTGCCGCCGCCCCGTCCTTCTCGCAAGCATCGACATCTTCGTCGTCATCGCCGTCGTCGTTCTCGCAGGTGGGCTCGAGTGCAACCGCCGCATCGAGCTCGCCATCGCATTCGACCAGCGCGACGCAGAAGGCAAGCAAGATTATCAGCTCGCTCTTCCGCTCAGCCAGCAACGTTGGCTCAAGCAGCAGTAGCAGTAGCAGTAGCAGCAGCAGCAGCAGTGCGGCTGCGAATGCTGGCAATACGAATGGAAGCTTGAGTGCAGGGCCCTCCACATCCATCTCGCCGCCAAACACGCCCAGCAGCAGCCAGAATCGCAAGTCAAGCACCACCGGAGGCGTCCTGTCATCCTCGTTCGCTCCAGGTCTTCCTGCGTCGTCGACCGCTTCCAACCCGTCGTCGTCGTCGTCGCCGTCCTCGTCCTCCTCCTCAACGGTACCACGGAGCACAAGCGCCAGCAGCATTCCTGCGTATGCCGCGAGTGCATCCGCAGCGTCCATGTCCTCATCCGCCAGCAACGGCAGCATTAGTACCGCTGCGAGCATGAGCACGACAAACCTCTCCAACCGAGAATCCCTGGCGTCGCAGCACTTGATGACGGCCGCCACGCTCACTGTCAACCTTGTCGAGACGGAAGGCCTTTTTGGTCCAGATTCTGCAGAAACTGCCGACATTGAGTCGGCGTTTTGCACCGTCTCCTTCCGCGATCAAGTGTTCAAGTCCAACTCGGTCAACCCGACAAGGCCGGCTGCCAACAGCAACAACAACATCAGCAGCAGCAACAAGCCCGCCAATGCCAGGCCAAGCAGTCCGCACAGCGGCAACTCGCGCTCTCTCTCGCCCTTGTCGCACGAGCGCATTGACGAAGGCGATGAGCCTGCAGATGCCACTGCTCCGCCTCGTACGCCAGAGCGTCAGGCTGACGGCCAGAATCGTTCTGCCAGCGCGGGCTCGTCCCCAACGTCGTCCAATTCTGCCAAGCGGTCCCCAGCCTCCTCCTCGCCTGGCGAAGCGTCCTCCTCGCGGCCCACGTCCATGGTCCGCTCTCGTCCGACATCCGGTGTGGAAACGCACGTCATTCCGTGGGACTTTTCGTGCATTTTTGCAGTGCCCGAAGGCGAAATCCGACCCTCGGACGAGATTTGCGTGCGCGTCTTCCATCACAAGAGCAACGGCGTGAGCTCGCTCTTCTGCCACACGACGTCCTCGCTCGCAAAGATCATCGAGGTTCGCAACGAGCGCAAAAGCCATTCGCTCACATCCATCACCGATCCGGCTGACACGCTGGGATCGCTGCTCATGGATGTCACCTTTGACGAGATGGGCGGGCTTGCGCTTGCCTCGACCGAAAAGGAAGAAGGGCTGATTCAGATTCATGTCGGAGAAGGCACCTACAAGACCCTGTTGGTGGACACGTCCACCACCGCGCGCGAGGTCATGCTCATCATGCTGGTCAAGTATTTCCACGTGGCTGAAAGTGAAAACCAAATCAACAACTTCCAGCTCAAAGAGTGCTGGGCTGGCAACCGCGAGCGCGTGCTGGGCACGGCCGAGCGCCCTCTGCTCCTGAAGAAAATGTGGACCGTCCGCGGCTACACCGATCGGAAGCTCTTCCTGCAGCGCATTTCGAGCAAAGCGGGCATGGTGGCCAAACGCACAGTCAATACCGCCAAGACCATTGCCACTCGGCGGCGCGACTCCATCATTGTGCTGAACGAGCACTCGGCTGAATCACCTTCTGCCGCGGCGCCTGCCGGCGCTGGCGTTGCCAAAATCCCACGCAGCGACAGTACAAGCGCCGCAACGCGGTTGGAAACTTCCCCCGTCAAGGAAACGTCACACATTGCCGAGCGCGGAGCCACGCCACCTGCTTCGGCTCGCTCAAGTGTGCACCACGACGACGCGGAGGTCGAAAAGATCGAGTCTGCTCGCCGTGAAGCCGTCACCAAGCTGGAAGACACTCAGCGCGATGTTGCCTCTTTGCAACAAACCATGTCAGTTGACGTCGAACACGAAGATGGTTTTTGTGTTTGTTTTTGGCTTGCTTTTTGGTTTGGTTTGGCTTGCTGGGCTTTGTTTTTGCTGACATTCTTTTGCTTGCGCTTGTTCAACCATTAGTCAACGATTGACCGAAGAGCGAGATGCCGCACAGGCCGCCGTTACCGAGCACAAGGCACTGGTTGCTGCTCAGGAAGCGGAGAAGGCTCTTGCTGAAGGCAAGCACGGTGATTTGCTGGTCGAGCTGGAAGCACGCAGCACCGAGCAGCGTACAATCCAAACCCAGGTAAAAAATATGTGCTTGCCCCGTTGACACATTTTCGCTCGCAAAGAGTTTGCGCTCAATTGCCCCTTTTTTTTTCTCTCTCTCTCTCTCTCTTTTCGTTCATCAGATGGAAGAGCTCATTGCCCATGTCGAGGGACTGGACAAGCAGTATCGAGCGCGGCAGACGCGCGATGCGCAACGATACACGGACGCTGTGGGCCAACTGGAGGTCAAGGGCAAAGCGCTGCTCGACGCCCAAGAGGCGTTGTCTCGTGCCAATCTCCAACGAGACCAGGCCTCCAAGCGTGCAAGCGAGCTGCAGGAGGATCTTGCGGCGGCCAACGCTCGACTGGCCTCGACGCAAGCCGAGCAAGAGGCAAAGCAGAGCGAGTTGAACGCGCTGATTGTCGAAAGCCGCGCTCGCTACGACGCGCAGGCAGACGAATTGGCCACCATCAAGCGGTCCAACTCCCAGGCGACCTCCAAGCTTGGCGCGTCCACCTCCGAGGCCCAAAAGCTCAAGGACGAGCTGGAGACTGTTCGCGCCCAGTTGCAGGCCAGCCGGCAAGAAGCTTCTGCCGCCACGACTGAGCTAGCCACGTTGCGCAAGGAGGTTGTCACGCTGCAGTCCGACCTCAGCACGACGCAAACCCAGCTTTCCGAATCGCAGACGCAGCTCGAGCAAACGTCGCAGCAGCTTGTGGATGCTGAGGCGCGTGCTACCGCTGCGAGCGGCCAAGCCGTGGCCAGCACGTCAGAGTACCGTTTGTCCTTCACTGACGGCGCCCGTCCCGCAGATGTTTCTGAAATGCGCAAGCGCTTGTCGACGGCCACCGCGGACTTGCTGCAAAAGACTGAGCAGCTCACCGACACGGAGGCGCGCCTCGCTCAACTGCGCTCCTCGACTGTGGACGCTACCGAGCATGACCGTCAACTCGCCGAATTGCGCCAGCAAAGCGAGTCACAAGCTGCCCTTGTTGCACAGGGCGAGCGACAGTTGGCCGACCTTCGCGATGAGCTCGCCAAGTCGCGCCAAGACCGCCAGGCTGACGCCGACAAGATGGCCATGCTCGAGCACGAATCAGTTCGGCTCCACCAACGCCTCCAAGAGCAAGAGAAGCTGCAGGAAGAGCGACTGGCGCGCAACAAGCTTGAATCGGATGCGCGCGAGCAGCGGCTCGAGGAAGCCAAGACGGAGCTCTTCGAGGTGCTCAAGCAGCAGAATGACGTGCAGCTGCAACTCATCTCCGCTTCGGACACGATTTCAATCAATTCCCGCACGATTGAGGACTTGACTCAAAAGGTCGGCTCGCTGGAAAAGTCGGTCGAGTCTCGCGTTGCCGAGCTCACGCAAGTCAAGAACGAGCTCGAACGTGCCGAAAAGCGTGTGGTCGAGAAGGATGCGCAGCTGACCGCTTTTGCGCAGCAGTTCATCTTGATTGCACAAAGCGCCACCGCGACAGGCTCGCCTGCGCTTTATGCTGCTCGCCAGTCTTTGCTCCAGCAACAGCAACTGCGTCAGAACCAACAGCAACAAACGCCTCATCCTCCTCCTCTTGCTGTGCATGGGTCGGAGCCGACTGCCACCACGAACAATGCGGCTGGACTGTTGACGGTTGCTTCGACTTCCCCTGCACCTCTGTCCCCTTCGGCGGCGATGCAAGCCGCCAACATTGGCGCAGAGTCGCTGGGCTTGGCACAGCAGCAGCCGCTCGACGAGCATGGTGCGCTTGTGTTGGGCGTGGCAAAGGCCGCGCAAGTCTCGGGCACGCAAACATCCGCCCCTCAAATGGTCCCTCACACCATCGAGTACGCAGTCCAAGAAGTGGATGAATCGAGCGAGTTGGACTCGTCGACTGACTCACGCGCAGTCTTGGTTTTACAAGCGCCCGACGAGATCTCGTCCTTGCAGGATAGCTCCACTGCTGCTACTGCGACTACTACTGCTGCCGCTGCTGCTGCGGAGACGCCCTCTCCGGACAAACGCAGCGGCTTGCGAGGTTTGGTCGGAGGTCATTCCACCGCCGGCAAGGGAGATTTCGCGTCTCCTGCTGCGCTGCTTGCAGCCAAGTCCAAGGCGGGTTCTGCCTTTGTTCAGTCTCCTCATGCCGCTGTTCGCGCCAGTCTTGTCGTCAACTCTCGCGGATCTGTCGTGCCCGTGCAGTTGGTTGGACCCGATATGAAAGGTATGACGAACGCTTCTTTTTTTGCAATTTGACTCGGTTTGCATCGTAGTTGCTCACTTTGTTTTTTGTTTTTTTGGGTTTGCGCGACGTGACAAAAATTAATAGTGCGTCGAAGCGTTCGCTTTAGCAATGTGCTGATCTTCTTGGATGCCGCTCTGGATGGCAACATTGATGAGATTGAAAAGCTGTACAAGGCGAATGTCGACATCAACTGCCGAAACGATGAGGGCATTTCCGCGCTTCATAACGCATGCTGCAATGGCCACTTTGACATTGTCGAGTTCCTGCTCAATCGCGGCGCCGACATCAACGCCGTGGATGTGGATGGCTGGTAGGGCGACTTTTTCGTTGTTTGTCAGCGTTGTTGTTTGTCAGAATGGTGCTTGCTCACTTTCTCACAACTGTGTCGACTCTGAATGTGCCATCAACAGGACACCCATGCACAGTGCTGCTTGCTTGGGCACGAAGCCCATTGTGGAGCTGCTTCTTCGCAGTGGAAGCAACGTCAGCGCCAAAAACTACGAGAATGAGAGTCCGGCCGACCTCTGCGAGGATGAGACCATTGCAAACTTGCTCAAAGGTATTGGCTTCGTGCCTGCGTTGTATTCAATGCTCTGAATGTCGAGCTTGTATGGTGAGCTGAGCTGACTTGTTGTTTACTTTATCTCTTTCTTTTTCATTTTGATGCTGCAGCGGCGGTCGAGCGAAAGAATGCAGCTACGACGCTGTTTGCATTGTACGACGTTCAGCCAGAGTTTGACGATGAGGTGGCGCTCAAGAAGAACCAGCAAGTGACGGTGCTATCACGCGATGGCGCCGACGAAGGCTGGTGGACGGTCTCGACTGAGGTCGCTGGAAAAACTGTGTTCGGCCTGGTGCCGCACAATTACCTTGGTGTAAGTTGTGTGGGGTGGTTGGTTCTGGTCAAAGCATGGATTTCCCGATGTTGTGATTGAAGATGTTGTTGGTGCTCATGTCGTTTTTCGTCTACTTGTCATCAGGAGCATCAAGTCCCCACCAAGCGCCACCGCCCAGCCTCTTTCAGCGACATTTAATTGTTCGTTTCTCTCTTGATTGTGGTCTGTGTCGACGGCGTTTCTGTTGTTTCTAGCTTGTGTTTTCTTTGGTTTGCGACCCGTTGATGTTTGTGTTGATGTTTGTATGTTTCCCTCGTTGGCCGTGTTCGCGTCTCGCTCGTTGAGGGGTTGTGCCCTGTGTTTTTCTTACATGATACAGTACAATTGTTCTCGAAATCATTTGCTGTCGTATGGATCGGGGATCAGAGGCAGGTTTGCGTCAGAGCGACGTCGTCGCGGCTGGAATGCAGCACTCTGTACCCCCTCCCCTTTCCTGAATGATTGCTCGTGATCCTTGGGTATCTCTCCGTGTCAATGTGATTGAACGCCGACCGAACGAAGCACCTCTGTCGTACAGTAGATCAAACGGAGTTTTGTCCATCGAATCGCGTCACGCCAGTCTTTTTTTTTATCTTTTTTTTTTTCTTCTCTTTTTTTCTTCTCTTTTTTTGGTTTTTTTTTTTTTTGAGTACTTCTCACGCCATGCCGTTCCAGCCACTCGCTGCGCGCTCGCGCCAGTTGTCGTCGTCCGCCACCGCGCTCACCGTTGCTGCAGCTGCCATGCTGGCGTTGCTGGCTGTCTCCGCGTCTGCCCGTCCCTTGCAGCGATCGCGCCCGTCCATTTCCAAGAACGAGTGCGTTATCATCAATCTTTTCTCCAAAAAGTCCTTCCTACACGAACTCGACTTCCGCGTGCTGCCATTGCACTCTCCCGCTCGCTCGCACGCATGAACAATCTGGCACAACCATTCCTTTTGTATCCATTGCCGCAGTGGAAGCGCCTTTACGCAACGCTCTTATGCTCCAAATCGCGCTTTCGGGCAGTGCATGTCATTCTTTTTTTTTTTTTTTTTTTTGATTTTTTGATTTTTTTGATTTTTTTGATTTTTTTGATTTTTCGGATTGATTGCTGGCCGTCCTATTCTCCCAACGACGAGCAACAGCCAGCCACGCTTATCACTTTGTTGACGAAATACTCCTCCTTATCACCTAGCTTCAAAACTAGGAATGGATTGTTGAAGTCGCTGGGTCTTACAAGCAACGGAACGCAAGCAAATGTGGAAGTCTCACCCGCGCGAGATCCACTTTGAAAAGCGGAGGATTAAAACGTGTGCCAGATCTCAGATAGAGAGAGAGAGCGGAGGATTTTCTCATTTCAACAAAACTCTTTCATCACTCACGCGCTCCAATTGCTTTTTTGTGATTATGCGTTTAGGTACATGGCTCAGCGCGGCAATCTGCTCCAGTTCGAAGCAGAGATGCGCACGGCCGCCGACCTTCCTCTCACGTCGCTCGAGCAAAGTGCCAACCAAATCCTCATGCAACTGAAGGTCAGTGTTTGATTTTTATGTATTCTCTCGTTTTGCATGTGTGTGGATGTCGGTGCGTTTTTGTCTCACCTTGCCACGCCTGGTTGGTTGTGTAGGACGCCGAATTGGCCAAGTATCGCCACGCTGACTTTCCACCAAGTCTCCACTTTTTCTCGGGAAAGCATCTCATCTCGGACAGCCCGGTCATGAATTTCTTGCAAGCCCTGTACGTTTCAGACTTGATTGTTGGCGATGCAACCGAAATCTTACTTTTTTTTTTTTTTTTTTTTTTTTTTGGTGGGATGGGATTTTTGCCCTTCTTCGTTTTCTTTCTTCTGCCTTGCAGGCCAAAGGGTGGCGCGCTCCACCTGCACTCTGTCTCAATGGTCCGCATTGACTGGATTATCGAAACAGCGACATACGATCCAACCTTGTATTCTTGCTTCAACACGACCAGCGGCGCGCAGTCGTTCCGCTTTTCCGCGGCAACCAAGCTCCCCTCGACCTGCAACTGGGTCAATGTGGTTGCCTGGCGTCAAGCGTCGGGCAACGCCACCGCCTTTGATGCCCAGCTCTTTCAGAACATGACTGTTCTGGTGGACGACCCAGTCCAGGCGTATCCGACGCAGGATATCGTGTGGCAAAAGTTCCAGTCCGCCTTGTCACTGGTGGACGGCATGGTTGCCTACATTCCGTACTTTATCGCGTACACTACGCGGGCAATGCAGGAGCTTGTCGACGACAATGTCCAGTACGCTGAGTTCCGCACCACGCTCACGCCTCTCTACGACATTAACGGGAATGTGTACTCGTCGGCCTACCAAATGGAGCTGCTTCAGCAAATCATTGCCAACTTTACCGCTGCTCATCCCACGACCTTTTTCGGCGGCAAAGCCATCATCTGTGGCATCCGAAGCTTTGAGCCGCCCGTGATTGGCGAGCTTCTCAACGAGACATTGGTGCTCCGACAGCAGTTCCCTGATCTTGTGGCCGGTAGGTCTATTGCCGCGGTTGAGCTGGCGGAGTCGCGGGGATGGGTAGGAGTTGCGATGGGTTTGACTCATTTTGGTTGCAACGACCAATTTCAGGATTTGATCTTGTTTCGCAGGAAGACCCTGGCTACCCGCTGATTGAATTCTTGGATCAGTTCTTGACCAGCCAACAAAGCCAGCAAGCTGCCGGTGTGACCATTCCTTATTTCTTCCATGCCGGTGAAACCAATTGGATTGGTAAGGGGGGGTGGATGACGCGCAGTGTGTTGTGGCTTGCTGCTGTTTTGTGAGGGATGAGTTTTGTCTAACCAAGGTGATTGCACTTTTCTCCTTCCATCCTTCAGACCAAGATGTGGACGACAACCTCTTTGACGCTGTTCTGCTCAACACCACCCGCATCGGCCATGGATTTGCTGTTGCCAAGCATCCTATTGTCTCGTCCCTCGTAACCAGCCGTCAAATCGCGATCGAAGTTTGTCCCATCTCCAATCAAGTGTTGGTAAGAGCGGTTGCATGTTGATGTGATGCTACTTAAATCGCAAACGAAAGGCGCAAAAGATTTCCAACGCTCATACAACCACCACTACTTTTGATGTTGGCAACGACAGAAACTGGTGGACGATTTGCGCAACCATCCAGGTGCGCTCTATCTGGAGCAGAACATTCCCATTGTCATTAGCTCGGACGACCCATCTGTCTGGGATATTAGCGGTCTTTCCTACGACTTTTATGAGGCGTTTATGGGCTGGGGTGGTGATGTGCTTGACATCAAGACCATCAAGCAACTCATCATCAACTCCATCCAAGTACGTCGATCTCTCGCTCTTTGTGTGTCGCGCGCGCGAGTTGCTGCTCTCCACTTTACTCACCTTAACGTTTCTGCGCCCTCGTTTCGTTCAAAATAGTTTTCTGCCATGTCCGACGCCGAAAAGCAGGCGGCATTCGATCTGTGGAATCCGTTGTGGGTTTCTGCTCTCCAACAGCTGGTCGCAGCAGCCAACAAGGAGTTGTGAGCGAGACGTGCAGGCCTCCTTTGAGTTTTTGAGAGTTACGACAGACATTCTTCACCATCATTTTTTTTTTTTTTGGCATTATTGGCATATTTTGTTGTGAGCGTGTGTTTGTATTTTTGTTCGCTTCCTATTTTTTTTTGCAGCACCACTTTATTTGATGAATAAAATTGGTCAACAGGTTTTCTCACCACCTCGTTGATTCAGATTGCACAGGCCGGCAACGTTTCGTGGCACTGTTTGTGGCAGACCGCACCACAACGTTCGCAGCGGTACCCTTGTTTGCCAATTCCGACCAACAACTTGGTGCAAAGCTTGCACTGTGGCAAACTGTTGAAATGAGTCGCTCGGAACATGTGGTTGTTGACGAGATGCACTTTGGAATTGTGAGAGAACGAAAGCGCAGAGCTGGACGCAGCCAAGCTCGACGCTGCAGCAGAAGAAGCACGACCATGAGCAGAGGTGGTCTCTGTGTGACTCAACACCGCCCCTTTGCGCTGTCGAACAAATTCTTGCGCCAAAGCGTCGGATTTTCTTGAGGCAAGAACTTGCAGCGCTCGTTTTCCAGACGCTGTTTCTTTGGGTAGCAGAGACTCGTGAATCTTCCAATTCGACCGGCTAGAGGGAGGAACATTCGCAGATGCACTAGCGGACGCACTAGTAACATGAGGGGGTGGTGGTCTGCCAGGCGCCTGAGCACGAGGTGGCGGAGGTCTGGCAGGCGGTTGTTGCTGCGATGATGAAGGTGTACCGGCAGCTTGTGGCGAGGACAGAGACTCTGTCAAAAACTGGCCTGAAACGACCATCTCACCAAGAAATGCACAAGAACTGCCAAGGCGGGAAAGAGGGTGGTGCCAGACGGAAAGGGACAGATTGCTCTGGGTCAGCTCTTCTCGCGTTGTCGCAATTTCCAGAGTTTCTGGGAAGTACACATCGGTCGATTTGAGGGACACGGACGTCCGGGCGAGACGGTTGGGCTCTGTGCCGACAAGTGTCGCTTCTGCGGGCAATTGGTGACCAACGATCGCCTCTGCAACTTCGTCCGGCATTTTCGCTCCAACCAGACACGCTTGCACTTGGGCGTTTACTACCCCACTCGCATCCAAGCTTGGCAAGGCCACGCCGTGAATGTGATCCACCACCACGACAATCTTGCCAGTGCTGGTCTCTTGCCTCAACAGAACATCCACCTTCAACGACCCGCTTCGCGGAATGTCAAGCAATGTACGCGGCTTTCCGTGTTGTTGCTTCAAGTACTCGTGCATTAACATTGGTGACGGGGTCGCCTCCAATTGTACGAACGCTTGCAAATCCAGCAGGCGAGCGCTTTTGAGCACCGAGGTGGCCAAGCCGTCGCCGTCCGCGTTGAAAAACTCCAACAAGGTGTTGAGCGTGCCCGACAGTGCCTTCCATTGCCGAAGCGTGAGCTTTCGGACACTCTTTGGCTTCAGCCCACTCGCAGCGGCTGTGACTTCGGGCGAATGCTGCTGCTGCTGTTGTTGTTGAAGTTGTTGTTGAAGCTGTTGCTGCTGTTGCTGCGGCTGCTTGTTCTTGCCAGGTGCGGCCGACAGCTCTGGGGAGGTGGTTCGCGCATCGGGCTGAAGGACGTGTTCGAACGCTTGAAGGGTGGCCAGCCAGATCTGTTGCAAAAGGTGTCGAAACACGTCCTGGTAAATCGAAGCCGTCAGAGCCTGCAACGTCCCGTCAAGAAAGTCCACCAAGGGTGTCACGACAGCCTCGAGTTCGTTTTGCGAAATGCGTAGCGCGGCAGCACGATCACGCTTGCGGCCCCAGTCAATCGACTTTGCCAGTTGCACCGCTCGCTTGGCGACAGACCGACCACTGCTGCTAGACCTCTTGTCGTGCGAGGCTTTGGCGTCCAAAGAAGGCGTGCGTCGGTGCTGAAGTGGTGGTGCCTCCGAGTCGTCCGCTTGCTTGTAGCATGCGGGCGTGTGGGACACAATCCGAACCGCGGTAGGCAACGGCGCCTGGTTGCTGGCAGCACCCGTCAGGGCGGGCGAGGCAGCACCGGGCTCGAGCAACTGCAGCATTGCAATCAGATGCATGTGAACCCCCGTTGCTACAGACGTGGTGACGTGACGCATCAAGCTCTCGAGCGACTTGTTCAATGATCTGCTCGTTTCCGCGATCATCTCTGAAAAGATGAAAGAGAAGGGATTTGTTTCGTTCTGCGGTTTCAAAGACGCCACTGGATCTTCTGCTGATGACGAAGGGTTCAAGATGTGTGCAGCCAAAACCTCGCGCAGAGTGGTCATCTCGTCGAATGCCTGAATCACATTGTTCATGGCAACGCACAAGACCGATGTGATGCCGAGCTCCATGGACGCATCGGAGCCGCTTGCCGCCCGCACATAGCCGTGGGGAGAATGCTCGCCGATGACCTCGTTTTGCACGAGAAGCTCGGAATACATGGTGATTTGCGTCGTCACGATTTCCGCGAGCTTCAGAAATACCTGCTGCATCATCCGCTCATCCGGCCATCGCAAATCGCTCAGGGTGTCGGTTGCTTGAGTGAGACCGCCAAACACATCGACAACAGACGAAGAATGAAGGTGCGTGTCAGACACGGCGGAAAATCTGTCGTGCGCCAGCGCCTGCTTGACCCAATCCTTCATTTTGAACCGGAGCGAATCCAGCCACGCCAAAATGAACGCTGAAATCCATTGCTCGTGGCGTGCGTACGGCAGCGTGCCGAGAGCGGTCGAAGCAGCGGGATGGCCGTGCGCGAGCGTCAGCGTCATTGGCGTCTGACACGAGGACGCCCCGCGAGCATGCTCGGTGATGACGTGCAGTTCTCGCAAAGTGGAAAATAGCTGCACCGAACTCTTGTCCAGCAGAATGTCCGGGTTGCTGGACATGCAAAAGCCTTCCACCTCGGCGGCGTGTGCGGGACAGGCGTTGGCGATCGTCAGCGCGACAATGTTAATCCCGAGCGCTTGCTCAAAAACGGTTTGATACATCAGACTGTCTCGCTGCAAGTCCAACAGCAGCATTCGCGAAGAAGCGAGAAGTGCTGCTGCCGACGCATGTGCGAAATGGCTCGATCGTCTCGCCGATGATGCCTTTTCTTGCCGCTCAGCATCCTCCGCCAGAACTCGCGTGATACGTGCCGCGAGCAACTGCTTGGCTTCGCGCAGTGGAATGGTGCAAGTGTCGAGAACAAGCGCGTCCAGTGCATGGTCTGGCCCATTGTTTTTCAGCTGCAAGGCGCGCCGAATGATTTCCAGAGCTACTGTCAGAATGGGACTTGTTCTCATATCGCCTCCGTCGATACTGGCTCCAGGCGGCGCCAAAGTTGGTGACAGTACCAGCTGATAATTTCGGAGAGAAGCGGACAGAAGAGACACCCAGCCGCCTACAATCGTCTCGAGCTGGGTCTGAGCGGAGAGTTGCTTGATTGCGTTTGCAAACGGCTGTCGCCCAAGCACTTCTAACTCCTGCAAGGCAAGAGCGGCCAGTCGAATTGCTCGATGCAGCGGGAGCAGCTCACGCTCCATGACTGGCGGAAACTTGAGCTCCATTCCAGGCCCACGCTTTGCCTTGTCGGAGAATAACGTGTCCGCTGCGAAAGATTCCAGCAATGGCACCAACGCGGTGTGGTGCACACTTGCCTGGTCAAGCAGCTGCTCTAGAAGAAACAGTTGCCATGCTGCGTGCGGCAGAGCATCAACGTCGCACAACAAGTCCAGCAGTGCCAGCGTTGGATGCGACAGCCCAATGTCCACTTGGGCGTGCAACGTCTGAACCAGCGCTACGACCGCTTGTTGCACATTGGTGGACAGAACCAAGCCCGACCGCGAGTTGCTTCGGGATCTCTGTTCCGGCGGTCGTAGGGACGCAGCCGATTGGTGCAAACCCAGCTCCAATGTCAGTACGCCGCTCACGGTTGAGCGCGCAGATCGCTTTTGCAGCTCGCTTGTCTACGAGGTGTGCACACAGGACAGGGAACGGTGAGTGTGAGCAGAGTCGTGCGTGCGAATCAAGAAGGACTTGCCTGGCGTAGATCGCCGCCGTTGCCAATGAGCTGCCGTATAGGGATGCTTAACTGTCCAAGGAACTTGTCCTTCAGATGTTGTCCTGATGGAGTGGAAGCTGGCATGGCCCAGATCTGTGCACAGTTTTTTCACAGGGTTTTTTTTTTTTTTTTTGGTTAAACTGATTTTGAGCAACACTCTCGAATGCTGCGGCTGCTCGAACTTACACCAATCGAAACAGCATCGTCCGGCTTGACAGGGTCGAAAACAAACCGCGCATGGAATGTAGGATTGGTGAGATCCGAGAGCAGCACCGAATCTGTTTTGCAGCAAAGTCAAACGCGAAAAAAGATGCACAATTTGCACGACACGCGTCTAAGCCGGACTAACATTGCTCTTTGCCTGACACTTCCACAGAGGCGTAGACGACGTGTGCACCAGAACCTTTGGAGACTTTGGAAGCAGCGAGGCCTTGTGCACTGCAACAACAACAAACCAATGCAAACCCCCATTCAGCGCCCATAGTTGAACCATTACATCGCCAAGATCGCAATCAATTTTGGTCGTGATCAAACTCACCTCTCAATCACCACGGTTAATCGCGTTGGCTCTGCGCTCGATGTTGCATCGGCCTGTTCAAACACCATTTTTGTCGTTTTTTTTCGACGAAGAAAGTGAGATATAATCACAAACCAATACCTCCAAAAAAACCATCCTAAATGAATGCTTTCCAAGCAATGATTATTCTGAGCTTTTTTGACTCGTCCCAATCCTTGATGGTGGCTGGACTTACAACTGCAGCTCGGTGCGCAGATTCAGACTGGTCGAACAGCACCTTGGCGGCATCCAGCAGCTGAGCCCGCGAGGTACTCTGCCCATGTGAAGCAGCGACCGTCAAACCAAGCCGACGAGCGGGGACAACGCGTGAGTTCAACGGTTCAAAGTGTGCGATGCGCGAGAATGACATGTTCCACAATGGACGACTCCCACTCAGAATCTCAACGCATGATCACAACATCACAACATCATGCAAACAGGTTTCAGAAACAATCAAGTCAAAAGCGAAGAGTTTTGAAGGAAACCGACCCGACTGAACGCAAAGCGACCGCTGCAGATTGCCGTCACAACTGCGCGGTAAGCCATCATCCACCCAAAGAGTCTCAGACTGAGAATAAAAGAACTGAACTACTCACTGCATGCAAAATAAGCAGTCAACAACAAAACATTTGCACACGATCGTTCATTTAACAAGGTTTTAATTGGCAACACAAGAGAGAGAAACACACACAGTTAAGAAGCGAGAATTATCTTTTTCTACAGAGGGGGAGAGGAGGAAAGTTTGAGTTGGGAGGGGGGGGGGGTTCACTACTTGCGTGATCGCGCAAGAGCAGCAAGAGTCTCTTCCGAAAGTTGCGCTTCAAAGTGATGCTGCCAGGTGTGGACGGCGCGGGCAGGCACCAGCATGGGGTTGGAGCACAAGGCAAGGGTCAGCTCGTTGGCAAACGTCCGGCCAGAAGCAGACGTCGAGCTGGTGAGATCGGCCAATTGCGTTAACAAAGCCGAACGGCTGACAAAGGAAGGGAGATTGGGCAGCGACGTGAGCACGAGCCGAGCCGCTGCAGAGGGCTGATCAGCGCGCAGCCACGCCGAAACACCCGTGGCAACAAGGTCCATGTACCAATCGGCCGTCGCCAGCTCATGTGAGACACGCGCTGCTGGAGAAGCGGGTTGTTGTTGCGCTGCTGGAATCGAGCCCGCAGTCTCAGAGTCGGCAGCCTTGCTGGCAAAAGCAATCTGCGCCGCGACCGTCAGCTCAGACGCGTCACCGGAAACCCGGACGGCAACCGAGGTGCCACTCAGCAATCGGTGGATCATTTGATCGGCGACGGCTGGCGTGGCCACGTAGTGCTTGACAATTTGCAAATGGGCTTGCAAACCAATCGCAACGCCACAGCGGTGCATGTACGCAAGCGTTGCGGCAAAGCCCTCGGCATCATTCGCCTCGTTCAGGCCGGCAAGCAGGGCGTCAAAGATGCGCGGGTTGAGCGCGCCGTCGAACTGACGCGACAGGCTCGCCAGATACGCCTCGGTGGGGCGGTTGATGCGAGCGCAGCACTTGAAAAAGTCGCCCAGTGCACCCGCGGCGTACCGTCCAAGCTGGAGCGACACGTCGGCGCGCTGCACATACGTCGAGACGGCGCCAAGGCTCTGTGCAGGCCCCGGTGTGACGACGCCCTGCATCAAACTCAAGTCGTCGATTCGGTCTGGGCCAAACGACGACGCTCCCGCAGCCGCCAACGACGACAACAAGGGGCGTGGCTCGGTGTCGGTGCGGGCGGTCTGGTTGAAGGGCGCGGCTGCAGCTTCCTTGATGGGGCTGAGCGCGGCGGCATGAGCGAGCGGAGGAGCGATCGGCTGATGCGGTGACGCGACAGAAGACTTCGTTGTGCTCACGTGCTGGTCGAAGCGTGGCGACGTCACCGCGGAGAGAAAGGGCCGGCTCATATGCGGCACATCCTGCATGGCGTTATTCATGGAGGGCCAGATGTGCGTGACAATAATTTCCGCAAGTCGTTGGCTATTGGGGTTGGCGCTCGGAACCGTGGCTGTCGCGCGCAGAACGGCGGCAAACGCGTGCGGCTGCACTTGCACGCCCTCGCGCAGCGCGGAAATGGTGAGTCGGATGGCTGTCACAACACTTCCAGCGTCGGCGTGGAGGGCAATCATCGTATTGGCCATTTGGCGGTGAGCGTCCACGCGCCAATGAATTTGCGGAAGAATGGTGCGAGTCATGACTGCAGCGAGGGCATAGGAAGTGCGGAAGAGATGCGACGGATAGGCCAGCGCGTTGGTGCGCCAGGGCTCGAGCGGGAGCTGACAATCGTCAAACAGCTGGCTCTGCTCGGATGGTGCGGGCACAATCTGTCCGAGCGTTGCGCCATCCACGATCGGCGAGAACAAGTGCTCGACGGATCCACCCTCACGAAGAAGGGTGTCAATAGCGCTGGGCGACAGCGACGAAAGCGGGAGACGCAGGGCCGCGTCCGCGCTCCTCGAGACAGCGCTCTGGAACCGCCGAGATTCGGCGACCATCACCATGCGCAGGGATGTCGCTAGTGTGGCGAAAGCAACCGAGTCTTGCAAATGTGCTTGCAACGACGAGCCTGTGGTGCGCGCCTTGCGTGACGACAAAGGAGTAAACTGGTGGTACAAGGTCGATACAAGGCTGAAGATGGCCGTGACCATTGCGGAAGTGTCTTGTTGCGGCGGACGATGGTGATGGAGACGGGCGTTCAATCCGGCAACGGTCGCTGCAGCGGCTTGGCTCGACTCCTCGATGAGGCGACCAGCTTGGTGATAGAGCAAAGCAACCGTCGCGGGAAGAAGGCCGGCATCGGCCAGCTGTTGCTGGACCGCGGCTGGGGAAATATCGACAAAGCTGGTTGCAAGCCGTGAAAGCGCCGAGCGAGGCATCGTCAAGAGCAATTCGCTGGCTTGTGCCGAACCAAAGGCTCTGAGAACGGGCGGGGAGAGGGAAAGCTGCAACAGGGCGTGGACGCTTGCGGGACTTTGCTCTTGTTGGGCTGCGTTGGGAGCTCGTGCGGTGAGCTTGTGCAAGCAGGAAAACAGTTCACGCTCAGCCTCGCTCATCGCGACCAGAGCGGGATGCGACGCCATTGCAGGCTTTGCCTCGACGCTGTATGCGAGCGCCATGCGGAAGGCCCGAATGACCTCGGTAACAGCCGCACTCAATGTTTGCCGCGAAGGGCTCGTAGAAGCGTTTCCCGGCAAATAGTCCACATTCCGAACGTGGTGCATGTCGTGCATGGCACGGGAGATGGCTGTCAGATCGTTGCGAGGGGGACTTGAAGCGATGGTTTCCAAATCAGAACGGGTGGATGCCGTCTCCAACAGTTGGACCAGTCCTGAACCCTGAATGATGCGGGCGCAGGAATCCAAGTCGTGCTCTCGCACCGCGCAGCGTAGCAAGCTGAGAACCAACTCGGTCGACGAGGTGAGGGCTTGCAAAGAAGGGAGGACCTCCAGGGCTTGGCGCACAGGCGTGCCGCCAAGGGCAAGCGCAGCAGCAGCCTCCAGATGCATGCGCGGCTCGGCTTTGAACAAGGTGCGGTAGCGTGTGAGCTCGACCATGACACGGGACGCGTCTTGAGCATGGCCCAGCGCAACGAGCAGCGGCGTGAGCAACTCGTTCGTGGGTGCGCTCGCAAGCATAAACTTGAGACGGTCGGTCGAAGTCTGCAGCAGGTCGGTGGCGCGACGGACCTTGATGGCAGTCTTCATGTCCATCGCCAAACCGCAGGCTTCTTGCTGTGTCGAAAATTTCAACAGTGCAGTCTTGGATTGGTTGTGCGTGGAGGCGGCCAGGGCGGTCACGCTGGCGAACGTGGAAACAAACGCATCGTGCAGATCGATGGCAACCTTGAACATGCCTCCTTCCGTCAGACGTTGCATCACATGCGCGACAACAGCACTACTCGGGAGCATGGCAAAGATTTCGTCGCATTTCGCAAAAGTGGCAGTGCGGGGCTTGCCCTGCAGTTCCGCCAAGCGCTTTTGAACGACCGACAAGGGCGCCCGCAGCATTTGCTGGACTTGGCGGACGTTGCCGAGAACCATATCGACGGCCATACGGAGGGTTTTGGCAGAATGAGCCGGCTCAATGTTGGCAGCAGCTGCCATTTCAATGACGGCGGGCTGGTGCGCCAGTCGCGAGATGGCGCGTCGCAGCGCGGGACTGCGTCTGGCCAGAGGGAGGGACCGAAGCGCTTCCATCACACCAGCAAACTGCACACCGAAAATGGACGACGTGGGAACCGTTGCCTGGTGATGCTTGAGGGTTTTCAGGAGAGAGCGCAATAGTGCGAGGCGTCGCGGCGTCTGACGGGCAGCCAGCTGATCGGTCAGCTTGAGCAGCTCAAAAATACGAGTCCGCTCCACATCGCGGTGCATGAGAACAAAGTTGTCGAGCGCAGGAAGCAGCTGCTCCCACTGATTGGGCAACTCGCGCTGCACAAACACGGGCAAGTTGGCAGCCGCCTTGACGTCTGGCGATGGCGAGTACTTGAGCCGATCCCGACTCGCGCCGGTGACTGCGGAGGTGGCGCGCAGCCATCGCTCCTTGTCCGTCCGAGCGGGACGACGTGACGGCTCCACAGCGTCGAG